AGACAGACAGAGAGAGACATAGAGACAGAAAGCGAGAAATCACCCCCCAGGGGGGATGGTCATGCCACAATCCCTTCTCCTCCATTCTCCTCTCGGGATCTTGGGCACACACACACACGCGCCTGGCATGAGTTTTAAGCCACCGGGTCCAGGACACGAACCACGGTCGACTACATGGGAGTCCAGCGACATAGCCATTACGCTAACTGCTGGTTCCCAGAAAATGTTCTTTTTAAAAATTATAATCTCAGTTAAAAACCAGTATAAATGTCATTCGTTTTATGTCATTAAAGTACATTGAAAATTTAAAAACTGCCATGTGCCAAGACATAATACATTTCCTCTGGTCTTCTCATAAAGATAAACAAACCACAAGTGTGGGGCCAGCAGGGGGCGTGCAAGGTGCTGGACTCCCACATGGCCTCCTGCAGTTCAAGTCCCATACTTGGTGATTTGCTGTCTCAGTTTCTCTTCCTCTTTATCTTTCTCTGGTGAACACACATGCCCTATGGCAGATTTTAAAATAATAATAATAAATAAAATTAAATAAATAATTCAATTTTAAAAAAAGACCACAGGTAGACAGGCATACATGTGCATGTGCGCCCAAATCCCAGAAGAATGGAGGAGAGGGATTGCAGCATGGCTACTCCCCCACAAGGGGGTGATTTGTCACTTTCTCTCTCATTGTCTCTCTCACTGTCTCTCTCCAGCGGGCACATGTGCCTAATGGCAAAATCCTAAAAAAAAATAAATGCTGGACAGTGGAACCGAACCCTACTTGAATGCCCATTTCCTAGGTATGGAGGTTTTTGGGGTTTAGGTTAAATGAACTTCAACCACCTAAAATTGAGATGTCAGTGATTTCAGTCGCCCCTACCCCCAGCACTGGTCTGCTATGGAGCACATCTAAATAACCTATTTCACAGCACGACTTTTACCTTCTATGTGCTGGTCCTCTTCCTTACTGGGAGTTTTCCTGAACGTTTCCACATTTGCCTCGGTCTCTACAATTCCAGCTGGATACTCCTTGCTTCCCTCTGTTCCTTCAGGTGGAATTTGCCCCATGTTCCCTGGGCCTTCAGGAGTTTCCTGAAGAGGATCATTCATTACAGGTGTTTCCCCAAGCTGACTCCTGTCCACTATGTCTGGTGGTTCATTCTTTTTGGGGACTGTGTCTAGAAGTCGGGATGGCTCATCTCTTCCCAGTGGTCTTTGAAGGTGCAGGTCTTCAACTGCTTCCACAAACTGACTGCCTTCCAATATTTCTGAGCAGTCACTGTCGTCGGGAATTGCTTCTAGAAGCTGGGACTGCTCATCTTTTCCCAATGTTTCCTGAAGTGGTGATTGTTCTGCAGATTCGACAAACTGATTTCCTTCTAGTTCCTCTGGAGGTTCATTCTCTTTGGGAATTGTTTCTAGAAGCGGGGACTGCTCATCCTTTCCCATTGCTTTTTCAGGTTGTAGATCTCTAGTTGTTTCCAGAGGCGGGATGTTCTCAGCTGTTCCCAGAGGCTTCACCTCTCCAGCAGCGTGTACATTCTCAGTGCCTCCCACTGCTCCAGGGGAGACTCCCTCTCCTGCAGTCTGCAAAGGCTGACCCTTGCCTTCTGTCCCCAATGGTTCCACCTCCGCATTTTCTTTTATAGGCTGAGTCTCCATTACTGCCTCCACATCAGCCTTCCTTTCTGCTCCTGGGGTATCCTGTCCACCTGCCTGAGGTGGCCCAGGATCTTCTGGTTTCTTTAGAGGCTGAGCCTTCTCTGTGGCTCCTGCTGGGTCTGCAACATCCTTTCCAGAAGCTACATCCTTGGTTGGGGGCTGTTCATGGAGGGATTGAACACCATTAGCTGTAGACCCTGCTGAAACCTTGAGCTTCTCTAACGGAGGGAGGCTTTCCCTCTGTACATGGCCATATAGACTGGATTCTCTCCCCAGCGCACGTGGTTTTGGTTGGGCAAAGCAGGATTCACTTCCTTCTGTTGCTGGAAAATACACATTTGAAGTTACTTTTTGACCATTCATTTGAAAAATCAAAAGAGAAAACAAATTATTATTTAGTTTTCATCTTCATAAAGTGAATGGATACTGAGTGGAAGATTTGACGTACCATGACCCTAGCACTCTCCTGGTCCAATCCTTTTACCATCTTCAGCTCAAACACTTCATCTTAAACTTTGAGGTTCTCCCAAAGCATAGTTTTCGGGCTGTTGTGGTTAAGGTGATAAACTTCCACATGGCTGACTGGGTTCGAGTCCTGAACCCAAAGGCATGAAAATCACAGCAGGTAGACGTGCATGTGTGCCCAGAATCAGGAGAGAATGGAGAAGGGACTGCGGCATGGCCATCCCCCCGTGGCGTGATTTCTCACTTTTCCTCTCACTGTCTCTCTCCATTGAACGTACACACTCTACGGCAAAAAAAAAAAAAAAAAAAAGCACACTTTTTTCCTGCTTGTCCTTGGCACCTTCTCATAGTTCCTGTTCAGTATTCTGTTTTAGAGGTTTTTGCCTGAGGGTTTGTTTTGTGTGCTTTTATTTTTTTAGAGGTTTTTGCTATAAGGCACATGCGCTCGCCAGACAGAGACAGAGAGACAGAAAGTGAGAAATCACCCCCCAGGGAGGATGGCCACGCTGCAATCCCTTCTCCTCCATTCTCCTCTCGGGATCTTGGGCACACACGCACATGTGCCTGGCGTGAGTTTTAAGCCACCGGGCCCAGGACACGAACCGCGGTTGACTGTGTGGGAGTCCAGCGACATAGCCATTACACTAACTGCTGGTCCCAGGGTGTGTGTTCTCACTAGAGACAGAGACAGAGGCAGAGGCAGTGAGAGGGAAAGTGAAAAATCATCCCCCAGCAGGGATGGCCACACTGCAATCCCTTTTCCTCCATTCTTCTTCCAGGATTTAGGCGTGCGCACACACAAGTCCAGCATGAGTTTCAAGACTCCAGGTCTAGGACTTGAACCACAGTTGGCCATGTGGGAGTCCAGCAATGTAACAGCTATGTCATCTACTGGTCCCCCACATTCCACTTTGTTTCTCATGCTCCTTGCCCACTACCCTCACCCCCAGGGCCCTCACCATCTCTCCTCTCTAGACAACAGGTTTCAGGATGAGTGGTCCCCGGACTGCTAGAGAGCTCTTATTTTACTATCCTACCTCGCAAAACGGCTCCCAATGACGGAAAGAGCTCATGACAAAGAAGCCCTAGGAGGTAAAACTTTAGATGTCTGGAAAGGGAAGGGGTTGGGGTGGTTCAGCCTGAGTTTCATGTCATTTGGGGACACGGTGGGAAGAGAAATCAACATGCATTTTATTTCTGGCTCTTCCTCCACCCCTGTGTGCTTGGGAACTGAGCACCCAATGATCGGGGTTGTAAAATGGCAGTGAGCCTCTCTCTCATACCTATGTCAGAGTTGCACGAAACATCCTGTTACCTCGAACGGTGGATTCAAAAGTACTCAGGACAGTTTAAGACAAGCCCTTGGGGACCAGTAGATGGTGTAATGGTTACATCACTGGTCTTCCACATGGTCAACTGCGGTTCAAGTCCCCGACCCTGCAACTTAAAACTCGAGCCAGGTATGTGTGTACCCAAGATCCCAAGAGGAGAATGGAAGAAAAGGCATTGTGGCATGGCCATCCCCCTGGGGGGCGATTTCTTGCTCTCTGTCTCTCCGGCAGGCACGTGAGCCCTATAGCAAACATCTCTCTCAAAAACAAAAGACAAGCCACTTGGCAACATGATATACTCTGACCCGGTAATCCTACTTCTGGAAATTAACCCTAAAACATAAACCTTAGGAAAATGCTTCAGGGAGAAATGCATCATCTCAGTACTCTCTACAATACTAAAAGAGAAAAACAAGTTAAAAGTATAATAAATTAGAAAACAAGTACTTTAGTGCCCTTAAAAAAAATGATTATAAAGACCATATGGCAAGGGACCAGCAGTTAGTGTAATAGCTATGTTGCTGAACTCCCACGTAGCTGACCGTGGTTCAAGTCCCAGACCTGGTGGCTTAAACTCACGCCGGGTGCGTGTGTGTGCGTGCCCAAGATCCCAAGAGGAGAATGGAGGAGAACGGATTGTGGCGTGGCCATCCCCCCTGGGGTGGGTGATTTCTCGCTTTCTGCATCTCTGTCTCTTTGTCTCTCTCTGCCTTTCTGGTGAGCATACGTGCCCTATATCAAAAACCTTGGGCAAACGTGCCCTTATTCAAAAACCCCCCAAAAAAAAAAAAAAAAAAAAAAAGACCATATGGCAAAATAAGAAAATATCTATGATAAAAGTTGTTTTTTTTTTTTTAAACCGTCATGGTTGTGTTGATGAAATGAAATAATGCATATAAAGTGTCTATTTATATGTGATTATTAAAGTGTTTATTTATAAGTGTCTATTTATTTATTTATGTTTTTTTAAATTTATTTATTTATTCATTTATTTTAATTGACCTGAGAGAGACACAGAGAGAAAGAGAGAGAGAGAGAGAGAGAGGAAAAGTGAGAAAGCAATACACCAGGTCCAGGATTCAAACCCTGGTTGACCATGTGGGAGTGTCCAGTGCTTTAACCACCACGCCACCTGCTGGTTCCCAATTCATGTTTAAGAAGCTTTTGCCATAGGGCACGTGTGCTCACTGGAAAGAGAGAGACAAGAGACAGTGAAAGGGAAAGTGAGATGTCACACCCCAGGGGGATGGTCACACCACAATCCCTTCTCCTCCACTCTCCTCTTAGTATCTTGGGCACGCATGCACATGTTCCTGGCATAATTTCCAAGTCACCAGGTCTGGGACTCAAACCATAGTCGGCCATGAGGGAGTCCAGCACCTTAATCACTATGCCATGTGCCGGTCCTGCATATAAAGGGTTTATTAACCTAAGAGCTGCTGTGCAATTAAGTGCTCAATAAGTTAGCTATCAATTTTATACACAGTATGATTATAGCAATGTAGAAAGAAAGGAAGGGAGAAAGGGGGGAAGAGAAAAAACAAGTCACAGATAGAGGGGAAAAAACACTAGGAGAAAATAAGCCAAAATGTTAAAACAGGTCCCTAGGTGATATTTTCCTCACCTAGGAAATGGGGAGCCACGTTTCTCAAGCCGCCTGGTCCAAGACTCAAACCCTGCCATTGGCCATGTGGGATCCAGCCACCTTAACCACCATGCCAGAGGCTAGCCCACATTTCCTTTCAACGCAGTAATTATATACAGTAGTAAGGAATTATTTAAAGTAATAATTTTGTTGGAATTTGGATTATGTCAATTTTCCGTTGCATGAATATATAATAACCATGTCTGCTACAAAGAACTGAGCGATCTCGAAGCTATTACCTTGTGTAAACAATTCTTTGTTTTGTTCCAAGTTGATCGCCAGATTTTTTCATTTCCTTAGTCTATGTATTATCATTAATTCAACTAACTACTGGTTGTCTCTTTTATACTTATATATATTATATTTTTAATATAATGATACATATTACATCAAATAGCCTAGCAGATTCATCTTTATGGAAAAGGTGAGGTACTTACTGAGATACCTGGTGCCACCGACTCCCGAGCCTTGTAAGGATTCCGGGGTGCTTTTCAGTTTTCTCTTCGGCCAACATAAAATTGAGCTTTCTTTGGTATGCTAAATGAGTTACCACACCTCTGTATGCTTTCTAAAGTCCAATATCTTTCTATTATGGGCTTTTCTTCTATTCCTCTCATGCTTGAGGATTTAAACGAGTTTTAACATCTCTCTACTGTCATCGTAGTGAATTTCAGGAAGACACGAAATGAGATCCATGTCTTCAATTTGTCACTTTCACTAATATTTCCAAAGATCCTTTTACAATGATTTATAATGCAAAAAAGAAGATGTTTCAAATGGATACCTAGGATGTGTTTAAAAGTAATTTAGGTTATGGGACCAGCAGTTGGCATAATGGCTGTGTCACTGGACTCCTACGTAGTTGACCGCGGTTCGTGTCCCGGACCTGGTGGCTTAGAACTCACGCCGGGTGCGTGTGCGTGCGTGCCCAAGATCCCGAGAGAATGGAGGAGAAGGGACTGTGGCATGGCCATCTCCCCTGGGGGGTGATTTCTCGCTTTCTGTCTCTCTGCCTCTCTCTGTCTATCTGGCAAGCACATGCGCCCTATTGCAAAAATCCTTTCCAAAAAAAAAGTAATTTAGGTTACAAAGATGAAAACCACAGACTGGATGTACTCTTGTATCATAGCTGCTAGAAGCTCTCAGAAGCAGCACACTAACAAAACAATGCCACATGGTAGTGCTGTGATAGCTGTATATACCTAGTGACAAGAAATCACACAAGAGTGTTACATAATATTAATAGTTACCTCAAGTTTTACAAGGAGAATATGCTGGAGAGCCTGGAAGACTCAGAGAATGGGTGTGGCTAGAGGCTAGGGCAAAAGCCAGATCACTGAGAACCCTACAGGTGGCGCTAGTGAGTTTAGAGTGTATCATGAAGGCAAGAAGACCAACAGGAACTGTTGGAGGGGGGGGCATTAATAAAAAGTTAACTGACGACGGTTTGAGTCCTGGGCCTGGTGGGTTGAAACTGACACCAGGCACATGTGCCCAAAATCTCAAGAGGAGAATAGAGAAGGGATTGCAGTGTGGCCAGTCCCCCTGGGGGCGGGGGGAGGGTTCTAGCTTTCTCTCTCTGTTTCTCTAGTGAGTGCAGAGCTCTACAGCAAAAAAAAAAAAAAAAAAAACTCTCTAAAAAAAAAAGTTAGGAGCAGTGTGGCGAAGAACAGGCGAGAGTGACTCCTGGACCAACCAAAGCCTGTGTGCCGCTGCATCCCCACTCCTGTCCAGCGCCTACATCCTGCTGTCATCGCCACCATGCCCAAGAGAAAGGCTGAAGGGGATGCAAAAGGAGATAAAGCCAAGGTGAAGGATGAACCACAGAGAAGGTCTGCAAGGTTGTCTGAGAAACCTCCGCCAAAGCCAGAACCCAAGCTTA